GCAGGAATGGTGGGTACAATGTGCTTTAATCCGTTCCCCGCACTGTTTATTTGTTGACATGGACATCACCTCATTGCCTCTCCTGGTAATGTTGAAAGTCAAAATGCTGACAAGGAAGTTACGCAATACATTAGTGGGTTATGTTGTTGTATTTTAGTTAGCTGTGCCAGATGATAATTGGTTGCACTAAGGCTCTCGGTATGAGGCAGGTGCCAAGAGATCCTTCCGTCTCACACACACAGATACGTACACGTTAGAGCAGAGGACATCTGGCATCCAGCAAAAGACAGTATAACATGCACACACTGTAACTGAAAAACAGCCAAAACCATATAGAGAGACATAAGAACTATTTTATTATGCTGATAAATATCTTCCACTATATACAATTCCCACATACCTATCTCTAAAGGGACGCTGTAGCTTGGTAAGCTCTGTCCTGCTGGAGATCTTGCTATAGCACTAACAGAGAAAGCAGATCCACAGGGAAGATTAATTAGGGTACTAGAATTTCCAGAGCTTGTGCAATGCCAAAGTCTAGCCTCTCCTCTGGCAGTGACAATATATGTAGCTTCTTCATTGTTAGATTGACAGTACACACTGATAACAGAAAGAGCCTCCTTTGAGATATTTTTAATTTTGGGACTGCAGGGAGCTGAAATATTTCATATTAACAGTATTTAAACATACTGTTTATGCACACTATACAAGTTACACATGAAAATTAACTTCCAGTTAGAACTGACAAACTACTTTGGAAAAGTACACGATCCTTAAATGGTTACTCCTGGTGAGAATTTAGAACTCGTGACAGAACGGACAACATAAGGATTTTGCATACAAAACCAGAGGTGAATTGGAAATCTGATTTTCAAAAACTTGGAGCATTCAGAAGCTTTCAGTCCAAATCTGGTTTTAGGTCCCTGATTACATTGTATTTTTAAAGACTTTGAGTAGTTTTTGTTTGATTGTTTTTATCAGTTACAGTAACTTAGCACTCCAGTAATGCTTTTCATCCATGAATGACTGCAGCGTCAAACTAATTATTTCTTCCGCTAAAGGAAAATAAGAATGATTATAATACCTGTTGCTACGTACTTAGATGCACACGACGCGTTGCTGCCCCTGGCCTCGCTGACAGCATAAAACCATGAGCCGACGAGGCACAGGCTGTGGCGGTGCCGCTGCAGAGCGCCCCAGATTTGGTTCCACAGGCTTCAGCAGCGGGGAGAGGCGCCCAGGTGACCTGGCCCCGAAGGCGCTGCCGGCAACAAGGTGCTGGGAACAGACCAGGCAGAGAGGGAAACTTGAGCGTGAGCTGGTAACTGGCACCAAACCGAAGAGCCTCATCTCGTTTCTCTATGCGCTTCGTGTCTTAAATCTCCAAAGGTGACGGATGTTGTACAGTCTCATTAATCCCAGGTTTACTTCTTGAATTAATTCAGTACCCCTCCTTCCAAATCAAGAGGGCATTCTAATGTATAGGTAAGACATAGGAATTACGTATATCCTTGATTTAAAATGTCAAAGCATCTAGAGGTTAAATAAGTCTAATAGTGTTCTTCACCATTTCCCATTGAACTCATTATTTTTTCATTTTCCAAATATGAAAACCCTCTATGAAGAAGTTTAAGACTTTGGTACAATAGGGAAAAAAAAAAAACCAAAGCAAACAGGACTAGAATTCAAATGTTATGCCAGGACTTTGTGTCATTCATATGTCCTTGCTTGATGACTGTGAATCGTTAAACTATTTTCAAGTTTGTAAGCATGTTGTTGCACTTGACAACACAAGTGAAATTCAACTGCAATGATGTGAAGTGGTTCTTTTTCTCTGCCAATCTTTGTGTGTTTTGCCCAAAAATTGAATAGAGCTGTAAGTCATTATCTTCCAATAAAAATGTCCGATCAGCTCCACCAGAAACACAGTTAAAGGATCCAAAATAAATTCACACGAATACATTGCTACTTACCAGTAGCACAATTGAATAAATCACTTAAAGGACTCTGCCCTGCCTTGTTATATGCAAAGACACTAACGAAATAAGTGAAGCCACAGCCTGACTGGAAATGGCAGTGCGTATGTGATGTGTTGCAGGGCACTTCCAAGCCATCATTGCTCTTCACAAAAACCACATAATAATGACCAAAATTTACGCTAGACCATAACACCAACAAGTGGCCGGGTTCATCCTCTTCAATTGATATATTTACTGGTGCATGAGAAACTGAAAAAAACATATAAAAAAGGAAAGAAAATAATAATTATAATCAGAATATTTTTATTGAAGTTATACTTCTGGGGAATAAAGGCAATCAGGAATATATAGAATATATACTAAGCTTGAACAGTTGTTCTGTCTTGTTCAAGAAAACAGCAACTTATCTGCCTTTACAGAGGATGCTATTTACATTTAGATGAAAAGTAAGTATGATTTTTACAGAACAAAATAGATGCTACCTTCATGTTTTACAGAAAAGAGATCTGCTTAAGGAGCCCCTGTGAACAAAAACTGTGGCACCAGGCAATATTTCAAAAGGAACTGGCACAGTTTGTGCTCACAGATAGTAGTTTTGGATGACAATCAGAATACTAGCTTGAATAGCAGTTGGCATCCAAAAGCCTTTATGTGAAAACCCTTTATGTATTGGTATGAAACTCACTGGCTGTGTGTGAATAGAGCTGTCCTTTGCTCAGGTTTCATTTCTGGTGGCATCCCAAAATGTCATATTAAACCGCGAACTCCATGGCTTTTACTTAAATAACATTTACTTCCTTTCTAGTTCAAAAAGTTTAGCTTGCTGCTATTAGAATGAATATACATTATCTGACTGAAGCAATGTTGGCTGAGAAGATTACAGCCCACTGCTTAAAGGTTTTCTCTTGCTTAAGGCTCTCTCATCCCATTAGATCCACCTCTGAGTTGCTCACATGGATGATCTCTAACTCATAACAATGAGAAGTCAAAATGAGGCAGGTTACATCAAATAATAAAGTAAATAATGTTGTGTCTTTAAGGTAGCACATAATAACAAAAACGGTTTAGGTTTTGCTTACGTGGGCAGTTCACCTAACAGGTCAGGAAGCAATAACCTCTGACATGGCAGCGGTGCTAGGTAGCTGAAACGAGCAACCTTTTGTCCTGACAAAGCTGCTACCTCCGAATGGTCTGTGACGGTATCCTAATTTAGTCTAGTGGTGCTGCTTAAGCTGAACGTCGTTTTGCTGACCTCCTTTCTAACTAACAACTAGATTTAGCCTAGAACAGTTCTCAGCCTAGGGCCAGTCCTTAATGCTATTTCCTCACAGATTTCTCCCAACCTATTTGTGACGGACCTGACGTGGTAAGACAGATCTGTTATTCCTTACATTAGTTTTACACTCAGAAAATTGACTTTAGAACAGGTACTTCTGGTAAGAGAAAAATGCAGGCTTACTGGTTCAGCCAACAATATTTAGACCATTGAAAGTTTTTCTCACAGAAATATGACGAAAGTTTAGGCTATTATCCCCAAAATAGAAACGTATATGGCACAGTTCATGCACGAAGTTCAGAAGCAGAAATAACTATTTGAGAACCACTCGTGAATTGTAATGGACTAATTTACATTTGAAATTAAAGAAATATATGTTAAAATGCCATAAGCTATATAAGGATCAATGACACATACTAGTTTTTAAGCTTACTGCATCAGTAGGTTTACTGGATCCAGCATCGTTGTGTGCTGTGACAGAAACATAATATTCAGAGCCGCACCGGAGTGATGGCACCATGCAGGAGGCAGAAGATGTGTTACGCTTCAGTTTCAAGAGTCCACTGGAGGCTGTCACACTGTCAGTTGGCATCCAAGAAACAATAGCTCTTAAAGCACCACTATTAAAAGCTACTCGAACATCCACTGGTGCATTAGGACCTACAGTGTATCAGTTTGGAACACATAAATACGACTTAGCATACGGCCTACAGACATGATCTTTTTCATACCTTGCAAACTAAATACAATTTTTGTGGTGCAGACCTTACCCTCATTCATATTGAAGTGACAATTTTTTAAAGAAATAGTTCTAGTTGTACACTGTCACAAAGCTTTCTGTTGAAACTCATTGCCTTATTTGAATATTTGCTTCTCACAGTTAGAAAAATCCTCAGGTCGGTCTCAGCTTGTGTAATCCTTACCCAGGCCTGTCCTAGGTACAACTTTAGTGGTAGTTAATAGTATCTTTACCTCAGTAATATTCATGAAAAATAGCTATGGCAGCTGAGCTTTCATGAACTTTGAGATGGGGTAAAAATCACATGATCTGAAAATCTACCCCATGTATCTTTGAAAAACATAACACAATCACACATACACATAAATACTTCTGGGTAGATCTTTTTTTTTTTTTTTTTTTTTTTTAATGCTTACTTGGTTTCAGAAAAGAAAATTTCTAACTTGTTCTTTGGTTATATGTGAAATCATCTCCAGGTATCCTGTTGACATTCCAGGCATATGCCTTGATAGTATACAGAGTTCCTGGATCTAGATTTGTAAATATCAAGGAGGTATTGGTGGTGTTCTCCTTCAGCATTCTGCCCAAACCATCTGATCTCATGAGGGACACAGAGAATCCAGCTGCCATATACACAGCTTTCCAGCTCACTGCAATAGAGTCACAATCGGAGAACTAACAGACAGAACTGGAGCAGCCAGGACTGTTGAGAAAGAACACCACTTAAGCTTTTGATTTTTCAGTCATACTGTTTGAAAGGGCCAAATCTGAAATGAATACACAGCAACAACAATCACCAAACTCTGAGAGACAAATTCAGAGACAACAAAAACAGAAAAATAAATTAATGCAAGACTGACAGAATAAATATGGAAACTGATTTGGTACGTCCACTATGATATTACAGGTTTTACAAATGAATGTAACTCATACAGAAATTACGAAAGGTTGAGTGTGCAGAAGAATGAAAATCACCATGAAGATACTGCATTTCCTGTCCTCTAAGTTTTACATTGTCTTATTATTTTATACTTTTAGTTGTTTCTTCATTTCTTCCATTCCCTCAAGTTATGCCTTTTGTTAAAATAAAATATATATATTCATACAAATTCTAGTAAAACTTCTGATTAAACATTTAACTTACATTACTGTCATAAAGTAAACCATTAATTCAGACTCTTGTCCTGGTCATTAAGTCAGATGCCCAAATTCTAGTCCTCAAAAACTGAAAGGAGAATGTGATCAATACAGTTTAAAATACAAGATCATAATAATTCAGTACTGGTACATGCCTGGGCTATACCGTTTGTTTTCTGTTCAAATAATTAAAAAAAAATATGCTTGCATGAATGCTTTGTATTATAATAACATTACAGAATATGAAATAAGAATTTGTAAATCCACCTGTTTTTGCTTTTCTGAAAGGTGAAGACTGGCTTTTTCCTCCTGAATTTGTAGATCTGATAGTGATTCTGTACAAGGCGGCAGGTTTCAGTTCCATCGCTGTGCCTGGAGAATTTGTAACTACAGTTCCAATGAAGGGATCTCCATCTTGTGCAGTCAGCAGGTAACTAGTAGCCCCAGGTACTGCTCTCCATTCCACTGTGATACTGTTGCTAAGTTTTGAACAAACTTGGTCAATAACAGGTATATCTGGAGCTAAAATGGAAATACCGATAGACATACTGAAGTTGGAGAACTCAGCCCTGTGAAACGCTAAGTGCTCTGAACATTTCACAAAGACAAAGTGTAGGACAAATGGCCTACCCTTTCTATGAATGTTTAAAATTTAAGTTAAATGACGTTTAAATGAACATTACAAAATACAAAGTCTTGAGATAATCTAGACCAACTTTCATATTTCAATAAAAGTATTCTAGTACCCTTGAAATCACTATTGAAAATGACCATTATTTAACCTAGGTTGCACTGAGAGGTCTCTTTTTTTTTCTTGCTCTGTAGCCAATTAACTGTACTGGATGTTTATAGACAGCAATATCCAAAGCAATATATACAAAGAAGAAGTGGTTATTTATACAAAGCAGTCTGAAATAGGATGCTGAATCACAGGCATTTCTATATCAGAGCAACACACAATAATTTAGTTTGGAAGGGACCATGGGAAGTCATCTTATCCAACCCCCTTGCTCAGAGCAGGTATACTTAGATAAACAATAACGTGACACATCAAATATTGCAATTAAATGCTTTTCTATCACGCTGCAGGCCATTCAGAAAGAACTCTTGTGTACTGCAGTCACAAAAGTAACTACAGAGAGTGTATTTCTTAACCACAAGTAATTTATGTTCAGTAATCAGGATTTTCAGACTAGAATCGGCATATGTAAAGCAAGTCCATATATTGCAAGGCTGCAAAAAACTCACTAGAAGAGAAAAAAAGATAAAACAAAGGTGTATCCCACCTAAAATTAAGAAAAGGGATGAAAAAGTATTTGGGACGAAAGTATGCACCTTGAGGCAAACTTATTTATAGCGAGGCAGCTAGTTTGGGATTTGAGAGACCCTAGCAAGTATTATACATGGTTATACAACTCCTCAGCATTATGTCTGCTGTCTTATTCCCAAGCTTTTTCTTATTCAGCTATAGTCAGACACCCTCTTTTGCCCCATTTGTAACAATGGTAACATATATTCTATATGACCATGCCTATGGAACATGTGCAGGTGTGTCTTTCGCGATCTTTGAGCAAGCCTTTGCACTGATTTTTTTTCTTCCTTTTAAAACATTGTCTGTAGTAAAAATTCATAAAAATTTCTGTGCAGGAAATTCTTATGCAAGTCTAAGGGAGTTGCTTGCCTAGCAGTCAAGTAGAGAATATATAGCACGTGATTTATATCAGAAATAAATTACAGAACATTAATCATTAATATCTGTTCTCCCATAACTAAGCTAGCAATAGAGGGTTTTTAACACTTATCAGGACAAACAGTGCTATGTTTTTATTTTCAATTTTTGTTGTAATAATTACTTTTATAAGAAACAAATTATACTGGAAAATAATGGCTATTTCTAAAAATTATCAGTTAAATTATTTTAAAAACAGAATTTCGACAGAATATTTTTTCAATTATATTTCAGCGATGAAATAAAAAAGCATTTCTGTTCATGTAGATTCTTCTTCAATATCCATCAGTGACTTATGCTACAAGTCCTTTTGTGAATGAAACAAAATTACTGTTAATCAGCATCAGTACTGAAAAATGTATATAGCTTCATATCTGCATTTGTAATGAAAGGGTAGGTGATTTGGAGGGCTGCAGTTTGAGCAAGCTGTGCATGGCAGGTCAGGGAAACATAGATTAAAAAAAAAGCAGAGGGGAAAAGGAGCTAATCATGCTAATATTGAACTCAGTAGGAGAACCAGCAAAAGGCTTCAACAGGAGTGGCAGCTATTCCCTACCAGTACAATGAAACATCAAGGATAAAATCCCAGTCCTACAGAGGTCAATGGAAATGACACTTCACAAAATTTCTCTTACTAACCTGTTGACTGCATAATCTGTGTTTCTGCAAGAATAATTCCATTCTTGTCAGTGGCTTCTGCTTGTATAGCATAAATAGTATTGGCAATTAATGAAGTTAGAGTTCCTTTAAGTGTAACATCACTAAAATGAGACAGTAATGAATGGCCTACAGTATTCACAGCTGTAGCTCTGACTCTGTAAGAAGAGGCTCCCGAAAGCTGGGGCCATCTGAGACAAATGCTTTGTGATGTCACATCATACATAGACACGGAGAAACCTAAAAAACAAAAACTCTTTATGAAAAAAACATTTTAGTCATTCCTGAGTTTAGTCAAGTCTTGACAAGAAGATTGTTCAGTGCCTTATCAAGCATCTATGTGACCTAATTTTCAGATGATAGGCATTCCACTGAATCTGGAGTGCTATTTCCCTTGTTCACTTCTGTAATCCATTCATTACCGTAATAACTGCTGCTTACTCTCATAATATCATGTTGTGATGATGGCTGTTTTTCTTAAAACCCCCATGTGCTGTGGTCTAATTATTTTAAAACATTTTTAAAAATACTGGGTATAATCCACATATGAATATACAACCAGTGTCAACAGTATTCCACACATGAAGAGGATCAAATGCTTGTTTTGCAAATCATGAAAAGAATATGCTACATTAAGTGTCCAAATACTGCAACAACATGTCTGCAATGATTAAGCATCCAAGACTCTTGACAGTGCATCACCTGCAGGAACGTGTACTGTCACCAGAGAATGAATGAATTCTGAGAGCATTTCTTGTAATCTTGCATTCCCCGTATTTTAAACTGGTCACTATTCACACTTAAGGCAATAAAAGCGGTAGGCAGAAAATACTAGATTGAAGAAAGTATAAAATGTTGTAAAACATTGGAAATATTTGTGCTTAGGAGATCATGCTTCTTCTGGTGTGTTTTTTGATTTTTTTTGGGGGGGTGTTTTTTGGTTTTATTTTTTTTCATTAAAAGATACAACAATTAATTGGGTGCAAATATGGGACAGTTTAAATCCTATTTGTAGCACAGTTACGTAGGTAATGCACAGCACAATTTGTCCAGCTGTGTGTTCTGCCTGGTTCACGCTAGTGTCAAGGCATAAGCAGTCTGTCAGAATTTTGTGTGAGTGTCTCACAGAATTGGGACTCCTAAAAATGAGGTTTAAAATCTAGAAAGATATCAACATAGTTTTTTTAAAGCTGAATCAAACTTGAAAACAATTTTTGTTTAAAAAGCTGCTAGAACTTACAAAATGTTTTATTAGAAATCACATATGTGTGTGTTCTCTTCAAACCCATTAAAAAATAAGCATATAAAACCAAAATACCATTTTGAAGATTCACCTGTGTTAGCTGAAAAGATCTAAAAAGGAAGATGTAAAAAAATTAGAAGTACAAAGTTAAATATTTTCTTTGGAAAATTAAAAAACTAATAATGTTAGTAACAACAACAACTTAAAATACTACTTTTTTTAACACATTTTACTGATATGATATATTTGCTCAGGTTTTTTAAGCACAGAAAGTTTATGCAACCAACGAGATTTGGTACAGGTATGCAGATTGTATTACTTCTTTATTTTCCTCTCTGAATCTGCCTATTGATCCAGTTTCTAGTTGTTGACAGACTTGGAAAGACCCTGGGTCCTAATATATTATTTTATTTTTCAGTCACTTGTATACACTACAAAAGTGTAATAGCAGCAAAATATGAATGTAGAAGTGGGTGTCAGACAGTCTCTACCCTAACTTTTAGTTTACTTTTACAAAGAGTATAATATCGTTCTTGAAAATAGTTTTAAAGCAAATGAGCTGCCCTCCCCATTTCTAGGCAGTTGAAAAGCAGTGCAATAAATATTAATGATTTACTTTTTGCACAGCACATCTTGTCAGAACTTTGTTCCCACCTTCACATGGGGATGAGCTCAGGCCGATCCCTGCTGTGACCAGTAATATTTTGCAGGAGTGCTGTCACCGTAGGTTTGCTCCCTGGGAGGAGAGGAGGTTGTGTTAGGTTAGGCCCTCCTCCCTGCTAGACTACAGCCTGCCAGCGGTTACCAAAACCGTGGTGAAGTGAGTCTGACACAGCATTGAACTTTTAGGCAGGCAGGTGGTGGGTTTTTTTCCCCCTTCTGTTACAGGATGCAGTTTCTGTATTGCTTATACAAGACTCCTAATATGATTAAGCCCAAGGTAAATTCAAAATTTGCTGTTCAGCTTATTATCTACTGACACTTACAAAGATCTTTTTTTCTGTCCGGAACGATGCCCTCATCGTACTCCCCTCTGAACGGAACACTGCTGTACTGACTGGGAACTGCTTCCTCACGCTTCACCTTGTGGAAGGAGAAATTTTCCTCTCATTTCTTCATATTCATACCAGCTGCTGGTTCCACTTTGACAACACGCCTTTATGTCTTCAACCTGTAATTTCTGACAGACGATTTTAGGCGTCAAGAAACAGCATCCTTCTATGAACCGACCATGTTTTCTTCGGTGGGTTACACGAACCTAGCAGGGAACGCGGGCACCGTTTTTATGTGGGAGGCACGGTGGCGAGGGGAGTTTTACACCCCGAGGAGACCCGGGACCACGGCAGGTTTCGCGGCCCCTCTCTCCGCGGCCAGGCGGTCTCCCGACCCCCCGGCTGCTCCCCACACCGCACAAGGAGCCCGCCTCGGGGCTCGGGAGGCGGCTCCCGCCGTCCCGGGCTCACTTTCTGAGGAGCAACAGGACGCTCCTTCCTCGGGGGACGAGCCCTGGTCACCCGGCGCTTCCCCAGTGGGAATTTCGGACGCTATCATCGCAGAGGAAGGGGGCCCTGCGGCTGGCACAGCTCCTGAGGGGCTGGCACAGCTGGTGGGAGCCCACCCCGCCCCACGAGCAGGCAGCGCACCCCACCGCCACTCGGCTCCCCCCCCCGCCCCTTCAGAGGGGCGCG